TTTAAGTGAACTTAGATGATGGATAGAAGTGGAATCCAGGACGCGTGTTTAATTCTATTTGGAACTCGTCAGTTCAATGTACCTGTATTTCAGGATTAATATTCACTTCGGGACTGGAACTCAGTACCGTTCGCTTCAAACACTATCATGCTATTCACTTAGCTACTGAGTCAACATAGCTACTAACTTTTACAATGGGGTGAGATTTAATTCATCTTGTATTGGTTATTTGAATCTTCCTATTGACGTTTAGGATTAAAATTGATCAGTCCCGGAGTAGACATCAACTCTGACATGCAGGTAGATCCAGCTGATGAGTCCCAAACAGGACGAAACGCACGTCCTAGATTGCACTGCTAGCCACCAGTTATCTCTGCTTATAATGATTGTGACCTAAGGCAAGATCGAGGCAATCTGCACAGCATGAACATATGCCAATAAGAGACTGACCAATTGCCATCCTAAACGTTAGTGCGAAGATTTGAACAATCCATACAAAAATGAATGAATGATTTAATTTTGAAGACACATAGTAATTGGTTGATTAATTAGGAGAAATAATCCTGAATGCTATTTCTTGATAAGATTATTTTTCATCTATTAATTATTATTTTATAATATTTACAATGAATGAATAATCAGATTTGCATAATATGAAAATGTTTGTTGTTACGAGCTAACATCCACCTGAAAATTCACTATAAATTAAATAATATTGAATACGGATTGCTACAACTTGTACTCGATTCTGGATGAGTTTGTTGAAATACACTACTTAAAACAAAACAACTTTTCAATACATTTTGATTTACAATGTATTCGTCAACAAATGTCAATTTTCTCAATTAAAGTTGGTAATATTTGCTATTTTAATAACAAATATATTTTTGTTATGTCCCAACGAGTAGAAAAATTGTATTCCTGCCTTAATGTGGGCCACTGCTTCAGAGTAAATTTACTCTGAAGAAACGTCAGGAATACAGTTTTCCTATTCACTGGGATATAAGAAAAATGTATTCATTATTAACTCTCTACCTAATGCTCCATTTATTTGAAACTATCACGTCCAACCTTGGTATTGATATTTATTTGCTATTTTCTTTAATAAAGTTTCTAATAATATATCGCACAGAGTTCATGAGCATTGTGACAAGCGATGTCCAAAATCTGATACACTGTGTGCTAGGCGCTAACCACCCAACTGACTACTTGAGTGAGAACCTGAGCGAGAAAGTGTACTGGGCTATCGAATAAAATGTACATATACTTATTCATATATATACCACTCTATCCTTACGAAATCAACCCACTTCTTAGCCAATCAAATGAATTTGTCCACTAGGTCTTTTTTGATTGCCATTGATTGACCTTCTCATTAGGCTACTTCTGATTGACTCTCCATATCAATAAGTTGAAAAAATAAAATGAAATTTAGTATTGTTTTCATGCACTGTTAATCTGATTTCTTCAGTCTAGTGGTTTTATTTCGTATGATAATTAAAAAGAGCTTGTTTTCATGAATAATAACTTAACTAAAAATTTTTTGTTGCAGTCTAATTAACAAATTAGCGGACTAGTAAATTCTCTTGAATGAAGATCTATACGTTATATCTAATATAAAGTTGCCATTTTCAGTATCATGAACTTCGTTAGTATAGAAATAATTTCCAAAATACTAATAGATAGATAGTAATAAGACCTAAGTTGATAGTTCATGGTCACATAATATAGAACTACTTATACAGTAATAAATTCATTTATCAGACTTTATAAAATATAGATGGAATAGAATCAATTAAAAAGAATATAGTTATGTTACTAGAGAGATCAGAAATACAATACGCTTATTAATATTTAATAATTACATAAGCAGATTTCCATTTTTGTTGAAATTAACGTTGTGCATATCATCATTGAAAAATGGTGTATACACCGATTAGTTTATAAAAATGTATTTATCCTTTGAGATACAAATGAATGGTATAGATAATTGAAGCCTGAAAGAATTCATAATTTCATTTAGATAATGTATAATTGAAGATTTATTTCCAGAATATAACTACTGTTATTAATTTGATAGTTATGAGAATACAGTGACTATAATTAACAATGACGTTCATCAAAATTAGAAGGAGTATGTGAAGTTTCCTTAGAATAGGAAATAATACTCCTTCCCTATACTGTGTTTTTAAATTATCCACTAGTAAGTTGAGATAAATTTGTTTTCTTATAAAGTAGCTAACACTATGTGTTGCCGTGAATTAGTATTAAAAGTAACTTACCGTGAAAAAGATCCTTAGTAAAAAAAGGATTATATACATTATTCATGAACGATATATTTTGAAGATTATTTTGTCAGTATACTTCCATTACGTTGATTTTAGCTTTCTTATTAGAAATTATTAAACGATTCAGAACTATCATTTTTCAGTAATGTATTATAGAGTATTTATACTCTACATAAAAATGAACTAATCAATTTGGAAGAACTTTTAAAGATTCACCATCTACCATTTTCTATATTGTTCTAAGTTCATCATTAGTTTTAGATTTTGTTTATTGAAAAACCAACTGTAACAAAAAAGAACAAGGACAGTTATCATATGAAATCATTGGAAAATTTTAAGTAGTAATTAGGTTTATAGACTTTTTTGGAAGTTTTTCGTTTTTGTTTATGAGAGAAATAATCGTTTTCTACTCAACTAAACTAATATATTCCTTTAGAATTAGATAAAGATTGATTTCAAATGTATATGGAAGAATGTTTATAATTAATAGTATGTCTTGTGATTTGAAAACAACTATAAAGAGAGTGTCGTATCTTTCATCTTACCAAAAGTTTATAAATGATACTTGCGGAAAAAATGTACAAAAATCATCCCAATTTTCATAGCGTTAAGAGAAATATTTTTCATCGCATGACCTAGATAATTAAACATAATTTCATACCATATATATATATATATATATATATATATATATATATATATATATATATATATGTAGTATGATCATGATAAAAACTAAGGAACACAGTTAAAAACATAAAAGCATAGTATTGTACTTTAATGCATACTTATTAACATGCAATTTCTATTGATACTTGGAGTCCAAACAAAATAATCTAGTTTTCTATGATAAATGACTTCATAGATTAATAATAAGTTTTACTTCAATATAGTATTCAATCATAGAGTTCAATATGTGAGTAGATAAAAGCTCAAACAAGCTCAAAACTAATTACAACAGGTTCTATTCTGAGAATTCATAGTTTACTTAACCAAATCAAAAAGGCTATATACAAATCTATTTATTATTCATTTAGTTAGTATTTAGTTTATTGAATACTAAGAAATACTCAATAATACATAATAATGATAAATAACTTTAAACTAATAAGAAGAAACGCTACGTAGGAAATTCAAAATAAACTATTTACAATCGATTTATCATTGAAAATAAACATTTCTGGAATCTACAAGGTGAATGGTATTGATATATTATACACAATGTAATATAAGAAAATGAGTGAATTATATATTATTGTTGTCAGTGTAATCTATTAATACTTCAAGTTATAGAAGAATTTACTATTTGATGAGAAAGTAAACTATTATTTCTAACAATATTGAGTAATTTAGTTTAATTAATGAAGAGGTTTAATTTAATATGACACGTAATAAACACTAAAATAACACTTACTAATTGATTAATAGGAAGTAAATAGTGTAACTCAATTACAAAATCCCGTTAAAACATTGTTTAAGTACTAAAGAATAGGTGAGAAAAAGCCTAACCGCTGACTATATTATGACAGTTAGCAGTGTAGTGAACAGAACACGAGTGGGGACAATTGTATGTATTTGACACAAAATTACAGGACTTTTTAATAAAATCTAACAATCGAATAGTCTAGTAAATACGTAATTTGCAAAATGTCCATCAATTGTCTCATAATAACTCAGACTTCATTGTTCTTGCATTTTCATACAAATTGCATTCTGTTTCCATTCTTTACTGTTCGATCCTCATGTCTCTCTGCTGCCAGACATTCTGTTCACGACTAACACCATCTACTGCTTATGTCAATATAAGTAGCACACACCACAGCAGGAACTTGGAGGTTTGTTGTCTATCTTTCATGTTTGGAACATACAGAATTAAATATGTGATGACACTTCATCACTGTTAAATATATTTCTTACACATAATTTTTTAAAAATGTTGTTCATAGAATATCAAATGAAATTACAACAATCAGTCCATGCACATATTAAGCTCTATAACTCTAGATTAAATTACATAGTTTACATGGTGTTATTTTAGTTTCGTATAGTATGAAACGGAATAGCTAAGTTGATTTCCTAAGTATGTAACTAAAATGTGCGTTGTTTTATGCATTCTACATTATATGCTATAATGATACACAGACTCAAATTTTCAGTTGTACCACGTTTACTATGAGTCGGACAAATTTTATTAGACTGCGTAATTAAAAGTAAGAGGTTGCATTTAATTTCTGTAACACCACAATATGAAATAACTGAGCTACGTTCATATATGCATAAAACAGTCCACTTATTTATTCAATATTAAATTCTCAAAGATAAAAAAACGTAATTTGATGTGTCAAAAAAGAAGATCAAGCCATTTCTGTATTAATATTACTAAATTAAAATGTATCCGAAATTGGACACAGTTAAAACAAGATTATAACTGTCCATTAAGATATACTTTTTATCCATGACTAATGACTACATCCACTAAAAGTAGCTATAAACAAAAGGAATTTATGAAGAAAGCCTCTATTTAATCGTTGATAATTGAGATGTAAGTGCACACTGTCGAAGAATCCTAAATTACGACGGGAGAACTGTGTCAATGCAATCTGATTTCCAATTGTTTCTATTTACCAGCTAACATTAATTTGTGATAAATATATCATTTTTATATTAAGTTTATGACTTCGTTTTAAAAAAATGTAGTCATAAAAAACGAAATCTGTGCTGAACATAATGTATATATATGTAATAAAATCAATGCATACATTATACAAAGTGATAGACAGGAAGTTTTTATAAAAGAAAAATAGAACAAAAAGGAAAATAGCCAAGACAACAGCTGTATCTAAACAAATAATCAGGAATGAAAATAAAGTACATATATATCTATTATATGAGGAACTGCATCGGTGAACATTTTCGACTGTTCATTGATAATACTATTACATGAATTGGAAAGAAAAAATTTGAGTAGAATTTCACTCATTTCTATTAAGGCAATATGATAAGACGAGATATATGTAGAGGAATTTTTTTTATACCGAAATCATCCAATTTCATTAAGGGCACTCTATACGATTTCATAAATGTATATGGTTGTACAGTAGAAACAAAACCGATATATGTATATATGCGATGTACAGATTCAGCAGTAAAATTAATCCTTTCATACACCTTCTCTTTAACAGAAATATAAGAATGAAAAATTGGATAATGATCAAATCGAAAAAGTATGTATATCAATATATTCTGAAGTGAATAAATCAATGAAATTCATGAAATAGAAGGCAATAAAACAGTTATAATTATAAGAATATTTTATAATTATGAATGACAAAATCCAAAAGTAAATATTAATGTATATGTGTTCTAGGACGGCGTCCCATAGGACCTTGGGGTTTTTGAAATATAAACTGTTTTTCTTCTTGTTTAGGATATAAAATATCCATTAAATATTGTGTAGTTAGTTCATCGATTTCATCAATTTCAAACTAGATAGAAGGAAAATGAATTTTTTTAATAAAAAATGCATTAATCATAAATAGTATAAAATAATACACACTAGAAGCACATAAGAAGTTGTTCAATCCAATTTAAATACAATATTATAATTCAACTATGATGTTGCTCATTTTAATCTACAATTTTAAGGTAACCATGCGGAAAAAACACACATTAAATATGCAATGGTACAACACGGTAGTGTATGCTGAATATTGATTGGAAAGTTTTTGAAACCATAATTTAGTACAGATAGGTAACCTACTAAATATCATTTGAGTACTTATAGTGTAATGGACGCTACTCAAAAGGATGTTTGTAAGTAGTGTATAGCGAAACGTGGTGTCGAAGTTGAAACAGTTGTTAGACGGAGTGAAAAGTTTCAGTGCATCGAAAGCACAGCATTGTTGTAACATGTAGAGGCCAGACGAGAAGAAGGTTCAGATTAGAGAACACACTGGAAGATTAAAGGCTACGTATATGTAATGTGTAAATACTTTGTGACATGATAAGCATACATTCCTCCTCCCTATTGTCATGTTTTACAATAGCAACGAATTTCTTTGTAATTTCGAGTGGGGTGTAAACAAAAACATCCTAACTGTCTGCCTGTTGTTGAATCACCGAGTCGATAAAATAAAAGTCTGGAATATATTATTGAAAAATAATGATAAGTTAACGAGACAAAAACTATGAATCTCCATTAACCAATATCCTTATAAAGTGATTTATCTATAACAATCATTTGTATCAAGTGAATTGATACACCGATTGAGAAGAAAACATGCAATAAATTATAGGAATACTAAAGACAAACTAGCTATTAATGTAAATTACACTGAAAATATATTAGTGCTATGATCTCTCAGTGAAACATTCAACATCGTTATGAGTAACAACAACAGTATTTACTTCGTTTATGTTGGTTGATTGAAATTACTAGAGAGAGAGGGATTTATACTTAGAAATGAAAACATAATACTTTCAATTTCAATTAAGTGGAGTAGTTTTTTTTGCTCTTTATCTTTCCAAATAATCTGAACAGATCGATGCTATATTCCGAATATACTCTTTGTTTTAGAAATCTGTCAATATGAGGTGTAACAAAGTGTCCCTGATCATAGACTAATAAACTATTTAACCACTTAATGAATTTATGACGAGTAAATAGTAATAAATACCACTGACCAGATACACAATCAATATTTTATTCATCCTCTAGTTTGTGTTATTAAAGAAACCATGGATCAGTCAATAAATAATCAAGATCATAACATTATCAAATGTGGTATAAAATACCAAACTGTCTCCTTAAATAAATCAGTCTGACCAAAATCATCCGCGGTTTCAGTAGTGATAAATTTAAATAGGATAATTGTGCGATAGCTATAAAGATTAGCTTTCGTATTCATTTAAGAAGGGAACAGTACCATCATTATTGTAGTAAGGTAAAATGAAGAAATAAAAGGATACCCAAAATAAATTACTTCTTAATATCCATTTAATAATTTATTTTTAGAAACATACAGATAACAAACAGTTTGACTAAAGTGGAGTTAATTTATCCGTTTTTAATTATCACTTTCTTACAGTTCAGTTAACCAGGCTTAAACAAATTGTGAGACAGCATATTAAACCAATACTCAATTGGATATTGGATCAGTGAAACAAAATTAAACATTATTATTAACAAATAAAAACACGTATAGAATTATTTAAATGTATAATGATTGCATGCGAACATTCTCTCTGATGACTGCAGAAAATATTAGTTAGGAAAATTAGTAGAGTAAAAACTGAAACTCGGATGTTTTACATTAACAATTGACTCCTTAATCCATTATAACGTTCCTCTCTACCATTGTTCTTATAGTAATTTCAACTAAAGTTGTGTAACATTTATGCTTAGTAAACCATTCTACAGTGAATAATTTTTTTATTTAAAAAAAGAATGTTCAAAAGAGACAAATCCGACAGTTGGAACATCAATGATAGATAGGAATGATAGGTAATAAAACAGTAAAATTAGAAAATAATTATTTCAGGTTTAAATAAGTACAAAATCAATATCTTTATACAAATAAACACAAGAAAACGAGCGAAATGTATTCAGTTACCATGGCATCCAATTAAATAATCATATTTGTACTATAATCTCAAAAGTACACTTCTACATTTCCCACAACTTCAATAACAGACAACAGATAAATACAGAAAGTAAAGTGAAGAACATACATACAAATACAGTAGTAAAAAATTACATTTTGGTTTATTAATGTAGGTAATTTTCATGTAACACACCTAAGTTGAGTAATACGAAAGAGGATAAACGGTAAAACGTAGACAATTCATTTACAGGAAATTAATCTCAATTTTATCAGTTTCTACTTAAGGCAAAAGGTGGATGAGTACTTTTTAAACAATAAATGATGCTGTCAATTATGAATTTATATATCACAAATATAGAATTCCAAAAGACAATAAAGTTAAGTACTATTCAAAAACCACACCCAATCTATTATATATATGGTGAGAGAGAGATAGAGAGAGATGTAAATAACTGGGTATTAGGTGCTCACCAAGAGCCTTGAAGGTGCTGAGTTTGAGTCTCGGTGGAGTCATGCATGTACTCTAGTGAGAAACCCCATAATAGGACAAAACAACATACTAGTGCTTCATGGTTCTGAATGACTCTTTAACCAAGATAAGCCTGTGACGTAAAACGGTGAAAAATTGGGTATCAAGTTGAAATTAAAGTTAGGAGGTAAGAAATGTTAATATTAACACACTTAATGGGATATAAACGTTGAGTAGTTGTTTTTGTAACCGAGTTAATTTATATTGAAACCATTAGTAATACGACATTCAAGCAACAAAAAGCTAACTATATATGAACAAAGTACAAATAATCAAGTTGGTAAGTAGTTTGCAGCTAATTAATTAAAACTTTTGAAACCAATTGTTTTTAGTATATTCGGTCTATCTCTGGTGATAGAATCCACAACGAAATATATAGACGCAATCTGACCAGGACCCACACGGTAACAAAAGCTGATCAGTCGCAGTCTTACAAACAAACGATAGGAAATCACAAACGCTTAACTAATTAACGCTTTGCTTAGAAAAGTATTTTAAATTATGAGAGAAATGGTAAGATATTGTCAATATGTTCGATATGAAAGTAAAGTGGTCGGTCTATATTTCTTTAGAATTTATCCTGACATTCCTTAAAAATTAACTCTTAAATTATTAGGCAGAATATTGATCCATCTAGTCTAAAAAACAAAATAATCGGTGATGTCATTCAGATGAAATCATTGACATGAGAAAAATTAAACAAAGTAAATCGAAGAAGACTTTATTGAAGTCAGATTAAAAATGGAAAATACATCAGTGAATTTTAATGATCATTAGTCTGATTCCAATAAAAAAATTCTATGCTTGTGAAGCAATGCAAACAACTGGAGAATTTTTCATTATACGTATCGAACAAAATAATTTTGTTGCTCAGAATATGTATCTTTATTTATTTATTTGAACATATAAATATTGGTATAAGAGGGCACCAAATATATATGCGCCACACAAAACAATGAGAACGAGAAGAGAAGGAGGGAAAAAAGGTAAGGAGTGTAAAAAAAGAACAGTAACGAAGAGATTAGTGTAAGGTAGTGTAATAATAATAATAATGGGGGAAACGGAAAGGTACAACCAGAAGAAATCTTTCAGTTAGGGAAGAAACAACCACTTTTATGAAGAAAGTAAAAGAAGGTTACAGCAGGATCGCCACTGGCTCCTATTCTGAGCCATATCTGATAACGTCTCTAGCCACTGTGTCGCACCATCTCTCGGCCCCCAAATGCCCTGGTATGGTTGAGAGTGGGGTGAGACCGCCCTCCCTCCCGAGTCGCTCTCACATGGCCACGCGTATACAGCCTCTGCCAGGGAAGTCCTACTCACTGCCTTCTCGTGGAAGGGGTGTTGTCTACGAAAATGAGAGGACGAAAAGCAAATGTCCGGCGCTTTAACCGGGTTGGTGGACATGAAGAGTCCACCTAGGGGAGTTGAAAAACCCTGATTCTAAACCAATGGTGCACATGGGCTCCAGTATCCTGAGGGAACAAATGGCGTATGAACCAGTCGTTGGTCACCAGCTACCATGGGACTGCATCTCCTCACGAAGCTCCACTGACTTGTGGGTCAGACCTTTAGGTCAAAGGCTCCGGGTGTGGCCCACTAAGAAAACCACCTGCTTCGGTCTGGGCACCCGGGCAGTATCACAGCCCACACACAAATATGATGAGCTGTCGATAATTATGGAAAATATGTATCTTACTTATATCACGTTTATGTAATGTCTAAGCCACTAGGATTCGTATGTTAGAAAGCAGCTGATAAATGTTGGTTGGACAGAATATGATTTTTATTCCCAAAAATTGAAACAAACAGTATGAACCAACTTTATTAAAATTAATTAACCTATTGAATGGAAATCTATACAATGACTAAAAGTAGAATGTTCAATTGGTAAATTTAATGTGAGGAGAAAAGCATGCTTCAAATGAAAAAAACACATGAAATATCCACATAATCACAAGCAAATGCAAAGTATGAATTCCCACCTTAACGAGTAAACTTACACACCTGCAAACGCTAAAATAACAATGATGTATATAAATGAGGAAGAAAATTCATAATTTCAAAGAAAAAAATTAGATACATTTGCACCTATCGAGGGACATCAACTAGTTTCTAACATATGATTTTACTACAACTAGCACCATAAAATAAAGTAGATGTTGAATTGTATGGTTCCGTACCCTTATTAATCGACTTATTTACACTGTCTAGCACTCTATCCATAACTTTAAGATCAAATGAAAACAGTGGTCTCGCAGGTGCAGGTACAGCAATGAGTTTTAGGGGAGAAAGTTTTAGTTAACAGCCACCAGCGCACTTTCGATCGAATCACGCTGAAAAAATATGGGAC